CTCCCCTAATCAATACTGCGAAGACCGATAACAAATACTGGACGAGAGAAACTTCATTTCCAGAAAAATTGTTTTAAGAGAATGATTTTATAAATTTAACCAACCGTAGTACCGGCTGCTCGGACAATGAATGCCAAATATTTCCTTATAAAGATGTTCTAATATTACTATTAACATTACTAATCGCTACTGCTTTTAGCAGAACGATTATGAGATGTTTTCTCTCCAGTTTTATATTCAGACATTTCTTTCTTTTAGATTAACTGCCAACCAAGTTAAGAGAGTCCATTCTACCACACAATTTACCCCATTGTTCGGGTGGGAAAGAGACGGATTCCTTCCTTACCAGATGTCAAAAGTGAACGTTATTGCTTACCTTGGAATTTGAAATTCGCTCGCCATTTCCATGTTCCGATAATAGTTAAACGCACATCACAAACTGAGTTGCTATAAATTTAGTGCGTAGTCAGTCAGTTATGTGCCATGCGTGATACACGCTTAGGCGATCATGTATCTTTCGATACTGACTACACGCTTTGGCGATCATGTATCTTTCGATACTGAGTACACGCTTGGGCGATCATGTATCTTTCGATACTGACTACACGCTTGGGCGATCATGTATCTTTCGATACTGACTACACGCTTAGGCGATCATGTATCTTTCGATACTGACAACACGCTTTGGCGATCATGTATCTTTCAATACATGACTGACGAGGCAGATTTTTCCTCGCAGTAGTTTGCTATTTCTTTCTGCGGTACACCAGTTGCCATCCAAGGCTATAGAACCAGGTCTGTCCTGCTATTTACCCATAGCTGGGGGGGGGAGAAGAAGAGGATCCATACCTTTCCCAAGAGTATTAGCACGTAAGAGGATGTAATGGATTCGAATGGAATTCGAACTCGGCCATCCGATTCCTCAATCCGAGCCGCTATCCATAACTCTAGGAACGTTTTTCTTGAATTTCGTAGCACAAAATTACTCTATGCGAGTGCGTATTATACACACGAATAATTACCGAATACAAATCTGATCTGTTCATTCTATTTTGATTTAATAATGAATTAATTACATTTAGAACATATGTGAAAACGAAATTATTTATTGTTGAAACTAACTGTATTTTTCATCACATGCCTGCGGAATTAGACAGAAAAATTTTTTTCTTTAACCAAACGTGTAATTTATCTGAAATGCAACGTTTTTACAGATATATTTTTTTCTGTTTTCAGCACAAGCACAAATAAAAGTCATGTCCTTACCTCTACAACGGTAATTTCCGACCTGGGGATTGATTTCATAGCGTATTTTCGAAACAATGTCAACATTACTCACCTGAAAAGGAAGAAATAATTTTAAAATAAGATATACAACAGAGAAAATATAGGGGAAAGGTGAACATGTTGGAGTCACGTTTTCATGCAAGCGAAGATGTTTCCAATATATAAAAAAAAGGAACGAGATTAAAATATATTTGGAAGTAATAAGTCACGGAGTAATGTCACATGGACGTTAATAAAAGTAATCACTTCGAATTATTTAAATACACTTTTAAATTATTGTTTCCATACAGTTGCAGCTCAAACCAGGCATCAGGTTCGTTCTCAGGGCGCGGCTTTTTTCCAGTCGAACTCTTGTGGATTAATACAAGGAAAATAACTATTTCACCAGATGTTTACGCACAAAGTAAAACCATTAGACGAAGTTGTAGCAGTCAGTAAATGTTATTTTGTTGCAACCTTCGGATCATTTCTGTTAATTCGCCCCAAATAATGTAAAGTTACTTATCACAATTATTAATTCACTGCAAGAAATTATAAATTTTAAATTAATTTTTTTTTTAATAAATTTTTGGCATTCTTTCGAAATTATAAATTTAAAATCAAACAACTCCAACCTACACAATGAAAAATTACCAAAAATCAGGGAGTTATTCACACTTCGTAAGTGCGGATTATATTCGAGGTACCATTTTTTACAATTTAAAAAAAAAATAGAAAGAAAAAAATGTTTTTGGCTTCTTTATCGAGGTGAGCGCGAACGGAGAATCCACACTTAGAAAAAGTCCACCAGAATCGCCCACATCTGGGGCTCTCAAAGGTCAACCCAACTGAAATGTAATGGAAGAGCCTCGTTCTGGGAAAATTTGATGTGAATTTTAGTAAATATAAATTCTTTTTATTTTGTGGGGAAATAACCGAAAAGATCCCAGGCGAGCGAGAAAGAATTAGGCATGGTGAGTTGGGTGAATGGTATTGTAATGACAAAATTACACAGGAGTAGGCTTTAAGAAAATTTTATTCAACTGAGAATACAATGTTCGCGTATAATGTCCTTTTATATTCCCAGTAAACAATAACTCACTCAAAGAGGAGAGTAACAAAACAAGTGGAGATCACTCTTGATTATTTTATAACAGGTATAATCGGCTTGTGAATTTAATAGCTATAAACCAAATTATTAACGTAAGAACTCGAGTCACGTTCATAAGTAAACTCATCAGATCTAGATATTCATATGGATGGCAAGCATGGTTCAAAAGATGTTCAGAAATATGCAAAATATCAACTGTATACAATCACTTTCACATATTAATGATTAAAGGGAGTTTATGATTAAAATGGCTTCAAGCTAGTGAAGTATGTAAGGTCTTAGAGGGGGACCATCTTTCTTCGAACCTTGTGAACTGGCGATACAGAATAAAGACAATGCTCTACCAAATAACAAAAATCATATAACATGAGGACTTAGCAGAAGCAAGCGTAGAAGGGTATATACATTTTTACCGAAAGTATCTTTTTGCAAACATGGACGAATAAACACGTCCACAAAACACCGTTGTAATACCAGCTACGTCAGTCTTGATTCTTTTTATGCGCTTCTAAGCTTGCAACGAGTCCATTTGTCAACTCATACATATGTTAGAGGTGTTGACCACCGCCAGGGTACTTCAGGGTACCTTAGTTTTTTAGTTACTATATTCAAAACAAACAAAAATAATCGTCTGAAAATGAAACGTTTTCCATAAAATAATTGGTCGGGAAGGCGTTAAAGCTATGAAGTAACAGCAATTCCAAATTTAATAAAATCTGTTCTTTTTAATGTTATTAAATTTTATTAATGCCATATCTCATTGATTAAAAATTAAGGTTTAGTTTACGGATGATCTGGTGTAAACAGTAAAGAGTAAACACGTAATTAAAACTAAAACACGGACATAAGTTTTCCTCCCCCCAGGCCACAATCTGTCATCCCGCCAGGTATGTCACGCATTGTTTCCCCTCGTCTCATTTTCCCTCTATTCAACCTGTGAGTATCAGATTCTCCAGGCCCTCCTTCCTCATTATATGTCCCAGAAACTTCATCTGCCTCTTACTGATGTTAAGTATAAGCCTCCTCCTTGTTTGATCGTTGCTCACACTCTTGGGATTTTCTTAAGATATTGTATAAGGCATTCGACTAGGATCGAACTTTAATAAGATCCGTCGGATCAGACTCTCTAACTATTGCCACATATCAAGACACCTTAGGATAGTATAAAAAATAATCATAAAATAATAGTAGTAAAACTGTTCCTTCTACTATTCTTATTTTTTTTTTTTAAATATCAGTAGCCCGATCAACCATCAAGCTGATAATGATTGATCACTGAATTAGGGAAGGGAAGATACTGTTTGGTATAAATAATTCGATTATTTTTTTTCGTTATATTAAGAGGATTTCGGTACCAGGAGTAGCGAGCTTGGAGCGAATTTGCTGTCAATGGATTGCGAGAGAAGTATGTTAATTATTACATTAGAGCAAGCAAGCAAACTTGTTAGATTTATAACTGCAGGTCGTAATTAAGGACATCGAGATTATTATGTAATGGAATTTAAGTTTTGTTTTCTTCAAAAGGAAAGAATGCTTCCTGTCTATTACTATGTGTGTCTATGTGTACGCGTGTGTGGTTGTGTCTGTATGTGTGTTTCTCGGACTGCCTAACGTGTCTGTTTATATATGTCTGTAAATGCTTTGTGTGTGTGTAGGCATTTGAGTTCATCTATGTGTGCAGGCAAGTGAAAGAAAGTGGACGAAAAACGAAGAAAAAAAAGAAAAAAAGACTGAGAATGATTAGAGAGTGTCTCCACGGGCGCTAAGAAACATTGTTATGTGTTCGTTGATAACACAGAAAAGAGATTTGTTTGTTGTACAATAAAATGTTGAGGCCGAAATATGTGAATCTGGCATTTAGATACGGGAAAACTAACAGATGGGCATATTGAAGAATTAAGCAATGAGGTTGATTGGGTTACCAGAATATCAGATAAACAAAAAAAAACAAGACGAAAAGACTAATGCGAAGAAGGGGTAGAAAAATGCCATAAAAAGAAAGGAGAGGAAATGATTATCAAGGGAGTTAAGTCGAAAAAAAAAAACGGAAATGGAAAAGCTGTAATGAAGTAAAGAGAAAAGAAAAAGAGAAATTGAAACAAATAGAATGTTACGAGTAAAAAAGAAAGAAAAAAGAAGGAAAGAAAGAAGAACAAAGGGAGATAACACGAAGAAAGAAAAAAACAAATGAAATGTATCAAAGAAAGAAAGAAAGAAAGAAAGAAAGAAAGAAAGAAAATACGGAGAAGGAAATTAAAAAAAATGAAATGGCATAAATAAAAAAATAAATAAATAAGAAGAGAAATGGGAACTTTGACATAAATCAAAAGGATAAGGGAAACTTAATTTATAGTTAACATCGGAAGGAAAGAAAGAAAGAAGGAAAGAAAGAAAGAAGGAAAGAAAGAAAGAAATATGGCGTTAAAGAGTGGACAGAGAAAGGAAAGAAAGCGAAAGGAAAGAAACAAGTAGAGGGAAAGTAAATAGAAATAAGGAAAATGGAGGATAAATGAATACATACGGAGGCAAAGAATGAACAGAGAATAGAAAGATAATGAAAGAAAGAAAAGCGATGGGAAGAAACAAGAGAAGGGAAAAAGAAACAAATGGAATATACGGGAGGTTAAGAAAAAAGAGGGAAAGCAGAAGAATGAAAAAAGAAAGGAAAGGAAATAGAATGAAAAGAAGGCGTGGAGAAAGAAAAGGTGACAAAACATGCCTTGCAAGTAAAATGACCATGAAATGGAGAGAAAAAAAGGAAAGAGAAAGAAAGAAAGAAATGTAAGTGGGAGAAAGTGAAACAAGAATGATAAGTAAATGAAAGGAAGGAAAAAAAAAACCCGAAAAGAAAGGAAGACAAAATGGAAGCAAATAGAATGCTAGGGGTTAAAAAGAAAGAAAGAAAGAAAAAAGAGAGATAGAAAGAAAAAAAGAGACAAAGAAAGAAAAAAAGGAAAGAAAGAAGAACAAAGGGAGATAACACGAAGAAGAAAATAAGAAAAGAAATGAAATGGATCAAAGAAAGAAAGAAAGAAAGATGGCGTAAAAGAGTGAAAGGAGGATGACAAATTAGAGGGTGAAACAAAAAGAATGGAAAAAAAAAAAAAAGTTGGGTAAAAGAAAGAAAAGAAAAGAAAAATAAAGAAAAAAAATCAGAAATGAAAGTATGGGAAGCAAAGGAAGACAAATGTAAACAAAAGAAGAAAGAAAATGAAATAAAGAAACAAAAGTGTGGGAAAGAAAGAAATAGAATGATATGAGAAAAAGGGTGTATGGAAAGAAAGAAAGAAAGAAAGAAAGAAAGAAAGAAAGAAAGAAAGAAAGAAAGACGAGGGAAGAAGTTAAGGAAGCAAATTGCAATGGAAAATGGGAAATAACAAACGGAAAGAAAATTAGGAATTGAGAGACGAGTGCCGAAAAAAAAAAGCGAAAAGAAAAGAAAGGATAGTAATGTCGGTAGAAATAGAACGATTGAAAGAAAATGAGAGAGGTAGAGAAAAGGGAAACGAAAGGAGGAAATATGAAAGCAGTGAAGTAAAGAAGAAAGGAAAGAAGAAAATAATATTTCTAATGGAAATCGACAATAATGTGAACATGAAAACAGAATAGTGAAACTGATGACTGGAGGAAACAAAAGATATTCCATTTTTTAAAAACAGAAACAAAAAATAAAGAAATCACATCACAATTCAGTGGTGAAATATTAGTTAAAGATCATTACAAAAAATTGGAAAAATAAACGAAATTATTAAGAGGAATTAATCTTAAAATTATGATGCAAAAACGAAATGTAAGAAGTAAAATCGAAAAAGTTAAAGATGAAAAAAATTAAAGCTTTTAAAAATAGTTATATATTTAATATATTGTTGTTCCGACAATCCTCGTCGGAACTGTTATATTACGTGCTAAGGGAATGAATAAGTAACACCATGTGGATGCTAGAAAAAAAGGTTTATTGTACCCAACCACTAAAATATGAAATACGGTACAGTTACACACACAAGTCAATCAAGTAGTGAGTGTCACTAATTGGAAGGTGGGGCATGCTTACGTCTTCTCTTTCACTCTCTCTACCAGTCTCTCGTAGACAGTTGACTTTATAGGTACTTACTACCTATAGTGTATCATTCATGGGGTGCCGGACTATTCCATTACATCATATTTCTATATCAATCGATCTCGTGTATGCGTGTGACAATGTGTCATCCCCGTTCTCCGGGGTAAAACGGATGGTGTTTTTTGCGTTGTGAGTCCTGGGAATAATGGTCGTGTGGATGTCGCGAAAGAAGGGAATCTTGCAAAATGAACGTTATTCGTATCAGGATCTGATTGTTTTCTTTAAGCATCAGCTTAAGGTGAAAATCAGATCTGATCGAAAGCGTTTGATTTCGACAGATTTCAGTGAAAGGTGGGTGACTGAGGCGAGCCTGGTTCGTGTGGACAGGGCTAGCCTTGATTTTCTTTTTTCTTCTGTTATGATTAAGGTCGAGATTCCCAATCTCCCCAGTTTGTTTTTGTCCCCTTTTTTCATCTCGACTGAGTCAGCTTTTGATTTTCCCATTCCGTCATATATTTTCCCTCCCCATTCTATTAGTAAGTGTGCTTTTTCTTTCTATCTATCGATAGAATACAGCGGCCATTCTTATTATTTTTCGGGGTGGATGGTTCCTACTAGCATTGTTTTGTTTTCGTTTTGTGCTTGGTTGACATTTTGAATTTCTTGTCTCCTCCACATCATTTCATGTTTCATGAAATTTATATAAATATATATATACATATCTATACGAACATTACAAATTTTTAATTCATAGGGTGTTTTGTATGACCCTTGTGAATATGTGGTATTGTGGTGCGTGCAGGATTGAAAGGTGTTGGATAAGTTCTTGTGGTGAATGTGTATTTGTAATGAATTAATGCGTCATGATTGTGGTTAACTAGGAATATTATAGCTAGCAAAAGACCAGCCTTTCCCCACTTCCCCTTCGGCCTTGTGCTACAATTTTGCATTTTTACAAAATAAGTATTCATTTTTGTTTCCATTTTTCTTTAAGAATTCCTCAAGGTTCTATTCATGGACATAATATCCTTCAGTAGAACAGTGGCTTTGCGGAATGGAGTCTCATCTTCATCTGTGAGAAAATTAGCTGCTTTATCGTAAGATATATTTCAAAACGGTTTTCTTCATTTCTAATGAACTTTTCTGTCGCTTAATACTTTCTTTTAGCATCTTGAAGTTATTCTTTGCTATTCCAATGCACTTTTGAATCTCTCAGTACCCTTTTCCGTAGTCTTTGACTACGCTACCAAGATGGTTAAATTTTTTACACCATGAGGTGTTTTGTAGGACCCTTGTGAATATGTAGCATTGTGGTGTGAGCAGGATTGAGAGGAGATGGATGAGTTCTTGCGGTGAATGTATAATTGTAATGAATAAATGGGTCATGATTGTGGTTAACTAGGAATAGAATAGCTAGCGAAAGACCCGCTTTTCCCCACTTCCCCTTTGGCCTTGTGCCACAATTTTGTATTTTTACAAAATAAATATATTACATCATATATCTATTCGGTCAATAAGATTTATGTTATGATAAATATAAGTACTTCATTATATTCAGTTCTATCTACAGCGAAATGATTTATAATATTTATAATAAAATTACTTACCATGCGGATGTGTCTGTAATGGATAACGACTCAATATGATGAATCGGAGAGACGAGTTCGAAATCCATCTGACTTCATTACATTCACTTACACGCAGAAACCCTTGTCCACCCAGCCATGGGTTGAATAGGACAGACGAGGTCGTTTAGCCTTGGTTAGCATTCATACAGCATAAAGAAACGTCAGCCTACAGCAGGAAAATCTTAATGTCAACCATGTCGTCTAGTCACTCATGAATCCAAAGAGACTTGATTGCCCAAACGTTTATCACGTATGGTACTTAATTCATTGAATTACAATGCAATTGTGTATTAATTAAAAGAAAAAAAAACTTTATATGATATTAGGATTTTCTTAAAATAAGTACGTATATCAGCGTTATTCATTAGAAGTCTACCAACCAGGACAGAACCAAGAAATAGCGACTAGAATTGGATTATTATCTCTTCTATTCGACAGCATGTCGTTTACAGAGCACATCAGAGATGATTTAAATTGTGAAAATTTGTCAAAAGATAAGTTAGGTTCCTCATGAGCCTTCGTTTGAGAATCGAACACAAATTTCCACCAAGTACAGCATCTATCTCTTCTACCCACCAACTATCGTCTGAAAAGAAGAGAGTCCTACAGCCTTGGTTGATAACTGGTCTACAACAGGAAGAAACGGTAACCTTTTGCGGGAAAGATAATTTAGATTCCCCATGGGCCTTCGTTTAAGAATCAAACACAAATTTCCACCTAGTGCAGTTTTTTTTTTAACCAGGAATGGCAACCTTGCATTTTTCACTCGCATTGTTATAGGTGATGAAAACTGGGTTTTGCAAGTCGAAAATAAAAGACAAAATAATCAATAGTCAACCCAGAAAGAGAAACCAGTGATAACTCTAAAATCAGGACAACATACAAGGAATTCATTGCTTTTTTTCGTGAAATGTGTTGGCCTTTCTGAGCTGATGGGCTAGGGAAGGATCTTCACTACTAAAATTTATTGCCAGCAACTTGTTCGGGACAAGGAAATATGGCAAAAGTACTCAATGAACAGAAGCATTCTGATACGAGGTACCATTTGCAGAACAGTCAGTTATGTGCCATGCGTGATACACGCCTAGGCGATCATGTATTTTTCGATACATGACTGACGAAGCAGATTTTTCCCCGAAGTCGTGTGCCATTTCTTTCTACGGTAGACCAGTTTTCATCCAAGGCTACAGAACCCGGTCTGTCCTGCTATTTACCCATAACTGGCGGTAGAAAAAAAGGATTCACACCTTTCCCAACGGTATTAGCACGTAAGTGAATGTAATGGATTCGACTGCAAAATATTTAAGTACATTTCCTTTTTAAACTGTTATAAAACTGTAATTACTTTTGAACAACCATGTATATATATATATATATATATATATATATATATATATATATATATATATATATATATATATATCCTTGATATTAATCTTCTACTCTTCATAGCTTTTGCTTTATTCATGAGAATTTAAGAGCCGTGTGTTTTACTGTATATTCTATAATAAAATAATACTGATTATATTTTAGTAAATACTTTTGTTCTAAAAGAATTATTAACGAATTTACATTATTTATACATCTACTCTATCAATACGGTTGGCATTGATGCCTGACGACTGACAATTTATTGCTTTTTTATTATTTTCAATTCATTGTCTAGTAAAATCATTTATAATGTATATGCAGTAAAATAATTACAATGACCATTACAAACAAAGCAAATACATTTACCTTATACATATAAAATATATATCACATTTATTCTGTCAGTACATCTTGCATTAATTCCTGACGACTACCAAGTTTTTTCGTCGGATTTTCAATGTATTTCATTGCTGCACTAGTGAGTACGTGTGTTATAGTAAACCTAATGGCAATTTCCTTTACAGTAAAATCATTATTTATAATAGGCATTTTTTAAAACAAACTTCGCCCAAGGTATGAACTTCACATTTGGAATTTTAAGTATGGTAAGAAGACTAAGTAGAAAGAAGAATAAGGAAGAAAAGAAAAGAAAAAAAAATGGAAGAAAAAAATGAAAATATATTTTTAAAAAAAATGCTTTTCTCTACCGTTTTTATAGGTTTTTCATTTCGAATTTTCATTTTCCATCTTTGCTTTTTTGTTTTTTATTCACTATTTCCTCTAGACAAAATGGAAAAAAAAATGATTGAAAAAGAAGGATAAACGTATGCAACGAGTTATTCAGCGTGGGAGAATATGAGAAAAAGAAAACAGTATTAAGGCGAGAGAACGATACAGATAACAAACAGACAGAGAGATAGATAGTTTCATCGATATGAATAGGCTTAGATAGACTGAAATAGATAGATAGATAGTTTCATCGATATGAATAGGCTTAGATAGACTGAAATAGATAGATAGATAGTTTCATCGATATAAATAGGCTTAGATAGACTGAAATAGATAGATAGATAGTTTCATCGATATAAATAGGCTTAGATAGACTGAAATAGATAGATAGTTTCATCGATATGAATAGGCTTAGATAGACTGAAATAGATAGATAGATAGTTTCATCGATATGAATAGGCTTAGATAGACTGAAATAAATAGATAGTTTCATCGATATGAATAGGCTTAGATAGACTGAAATAGATAGATAGATAGTTTCATCGATATAAATAGGCTTAGATAGACTGAAATAGATAGATAGTTTCATCGATATGAATAGGCTTAGATAGACTGAAATAGATAGATAGATAGTTTCATCGATATAAATAGGCTTAGATAGACTGAAATAGATAGATAGTTTCTTCGATATGAATAGGCTTAGATAGACTGAAATAGATAGATAGATAGATAGTTTCATCGATATGAATAGGCTTAGATAGACTGAAATAGATAGATAGATAGTTTCATCGATATGAATAGGCTTAGATAGACTGAAATAGATAGATAGTTTCATCGATATGAATAGGCTTAGATAGACTGAAATAGATAGATAGTTTCATCGATATGAATAGGCTTAGATAGACTGAAATAAATAGATAGTTTCATCGATATGAATAGGCTTAGATAGACTGAAATAGATAGATAGTTTCATCGATATAAATAGGCTTAGATAGACTGAAATAGATAGATAGTTTCATCGATATGAATAGGCTTAGATAGACTGAAATAGATAGATAGATAGATAGTTTCATCGATATGAATAGGCTTAGATAGACTGAAATAGATAGATAGTTTCATCGATATGAATAGGCTTAGATAGACTGAAATAGATAGACAGATAGATAGATAGATAGATAGATAGATAGATAGATAGATAGTTTCATCGATATGAATAGGCATAGATAGACTGAAATAGATAGATAGATAGTGTCATCGATATAAATAGGCTTAGATAGACTGAAATAGATAGATAGATAGTTTCATCGATATGAATAGGCTTAGATAGACTGAAATAGACCCATAGATAGATAGATAGGTAGATAGATTGATAGATAGATAGATAGATAGATAGATAGATAGATAGATAGATATGAATAGACTGAAATGGATATGGAATGAATCTCATTGATATAAATAGGCCTAGACACATAGGTAGATAGATAGATAAATAAACAGATGAAATAGATTCAACAATATGAATAGGCTGAGATCGACTGATATAAATATCCCTATATATATACATATATATATATATATATATATATATATATATATATATATATATATATATATATATGAACAGACTGGTAGATATGAATAGTCATTCATTATTTGCTTTTTTTTTAATCATTTCACTTTTTAGGAAGCAGAAGGTAACGATCGAAATTGCATTAAACTTCTGAAGATCAAACTTGACTGGAAAGCAAAAAAAGCCGTAAGAGTGTTCCAAAAGCGACAATGCGAGATTAAAACTATTGACATAAAATTTACGGTTACATCCAGCCATTTCAACTGTAAAACGATAAGACCTTGCTGCCAATGTAGTACAGCGCTCAAATTGATCAGTATTAGTCATAAAAGAGGAAGGCTCATGAGAACAATTACCATGAAATATAAAAGGAAAAAATAAAATAAGAAAAACTAAAGGGAAGTAAGAAGCATAAAAATGAATATGTATTATCAAATATGGAGGATTTTTTTTCAGATGCAAATGTGTTAAAAAAAAAGACTAAATCGTAATTGCTAAAACAAACACAGTTAAAAGTGTAACTATCAGTAACAAATTCATTTTTCCTTCCAATGTCAAATTTAACTCTACAATTCTCCGTCTGTACTCTGAAATTATATTTACTAATTATTTTTCCTCTCCTCATTTGGTGTAGATAAGTTCAGTTCACACTCCTCTCAGGTTTTTTGAACACATGTAAAGGTTTATCCCGTGTTTCCTATTTAGGATTTCAGTTCCTTCTAAAGTCTTTTCATTCTCTTTCATTAGAAGTAGCTCATTGTGACTTAATGGTATTATCGCCTTGCGTAGATTGAATTGATAAAAAAACACAAGACAAATCAACAGAGAGCAAAATATATCTCCAAATGATAGTTTACAGAGTTAAATTTGACTTTCGAATAGAAAGAAACAATTATGAAAAGTAAACATGTCTCAGTAAGGTTAGAGAAGTCATCTCCGAATTTCCAGTAGAAATCAAAATTACACACAAGGTACGACGAGAGCTAATTGAAAACTATGATTAAGAAAGCAGCAAAGATTGGCGGATACAGCGATAATAAAAGGAAATACTAAAATAATAAAAAATAGAATATTTCTTTATTTAATCATTTCACCTCAAGATACTAACGGATTACTAAGTGTGAAAGAATAAGTGTTATGGTCCAAGGTCCTTGTACCACGGTGATAGTCCAAAGTAGAACCAATAAAGAAGAACTCGAACATGGATATGGAATAACACAGATATATTACAAACAGGAATATATACAGAGAAGTAGAAAGTGTTAGTATGAACAATCAGGTTTAGTAGGGAGAACAATGTAGTCTCGATCAGTATCACTATTCCAATGTCTTGTAGTAATTGTCTGAACGCGACTCTGTTTCGGACTGCCTCTGACTCGACTGACTGACTCCTGACGGACCTCACTTCAGGCTTAACTTTTTGCTTCCTCTTGAGGTGGAGTATTTATTACGTATGGCATAGTCCATTATGTTATTATGGGTAAGGTCCCATAACAATAAGAAAAAAAAAAGAAAACGTTATTAAGGAGCGAGAACAATAGAAGAGTAATTTTAATTTTACGAGACCCATAAAACAGCAGCTCTCAGTTTCTTTGTAGGTCTTGAAGATTGAGAGTTGTTGTTTTTTTTAGAGCTGTCATGAAATAAAATTATTACCTACAGGATTTTAAGTGTTTGATATTCTTTAATATATATATATATATATATATATATATATATATATATATATATATATATATATATAAAAAGCTTAGCCCTTGGAGCGTGTAGAATGGAGATCAACGTGTTTTAGTGGACTCAGCAATTTTCAATCTGCTTGTTTGAATCATCTTCAAAGAAGCGAGAGCAAGATCTCAAATGTCAGCCAATCTAACAGTGATCTCATCTCACATTCCTCACACTTGCTCCATGTGTGGCCTCCTTGGAAAATCTTGGATAGAAGGAGGTGGAGAGCCATGATCGTCTACGTCCTGAAAGGCCATGGCACATAAAAAGAAAGAAAAAAAGATAAGACTGATGGCCGACTCGGAAAGGTGGATGATAGAATGTGGTTTGTGGGAGATAGCAGAGGGAAGGAACTTGTTGAGAGCTGCAAGGGATAGAAGGAGGTGGAGAGCCATGATCGTCTACGTCCTGAAAGGCCATGGCACATAAAAAAAAAAGAAAAAAGATAAGACTGATGGCCGACTCGGAAAGGTGGATGATAGAATGTGGTTTGTGGGAGATAGCAGAGGGAAGGAACTTGTTGAGAGCTGCAAGGGATAGGAGGAGGTGGAGAGCCATGATCGTCTACGTCCTGAAAGGCCATGGCACATAAAAAAAGAAAGAAAAAGATGAGACTGATGGCCGACTCAGGAAGGTGGATGATAGAATGTGGTTTGTGGGAGATAGCAGAGGAAGGGACTTGTTGAGAGCTGCAAGGGATAGGAGGAGGTGGAGAGCCATGATCGCCTACGTCCTGAAAGGCCATGGCACATAAAAAGAAAAGAAAAAAGATGAGACTGATGGCCGACTCAGGAAGGTGGATGATAGAATGTGGTTTGTGGGAGATAGCAGAGGGAAGGAACTTGTTGAGAGCTGCAAGGGATAGAAGGAGGTGGAGAGCCATGATCGTCTACGTCCTGAAAGGCCATGGCACATAAAAAAAGAAAGAAAAAAAGATGAGACTGATGGCCGACTCGGGAAGGTGGATGATAGAATGTGGTTTGTGGGAGATAGCAGAGGGAAGGAACTTGTTGAGAGCTGCAAGGGATAGAAGGAGGTGGAGAGCCATGATCGCCTACGTCCTGAAAGGCCATGGCACATAAAAAAGAAAGAAAAAAAGATCAGACTGATGGCCGACTCGGAAAGGTGGATGATAGAATGTGGTTTGTGGGAGATAGCAGAGGGAAGGAACTTGTTGAGAGCTGCAAGGGATAGAAGGAGGTGGAGAGCCATGATCGTCTACGTCCTGAAAGGCCATGGCACATAAAAAGAAAAGAAAAAGATAAGACTGATGGCCGACTCGGAAAGGTGGATGATAGAATGTGGTTTGTGGGAGATAGCAGAGGGAAGGAACTTGTTGAGAGCTGCAAGGGATAGGAGGAGGTGGAGAGCCATGATCGCCTACGTCCTGAAAGGCCATGGCACATAAAAGAAAAAGAAAAAAAGATGAGACTGATGGCCGACTCAGGAAGGTGGATGATAGAATGTGGTTTGTGGGAGATAGCAGAGGGAAGGAACTTGTTGAGAGCTGCAAGGGATAGAAGGAGGTGGAGAGCCATGATCGCCTACGTCCTGAAAGGCCATGGCACATAAAAAAGAAAGAAAAAAAAGATGAGACTGATGGCCGACTCAGGAAGGTGGATGATAGAATGTGGTTTGTGGGAGATAGCAGAGGAAGGAACTTGTTGAGAGCTGCAAGGGATAGAAGGAGGTGGAGAGCCATGATCGCCTACGTCCTGAAAGGCCATGGCACATAAAAAAAAAAGAAAAAAGATGAGACTGATGGCCGACTCAGGAAGGTGGATGATAGAATGGGTTTGTGGGAGATAGCAGAGGGAAGGAACTTGTTGAGAGCTGCAAGGGATAGAAGGAGGTGGAGAGCCATGATCGCCTACGTCCTGAAAGGCCATAACATAAAAAAGAAAGAAAAAAAGATGAGACTGATGGCCGACTCAGGAAGGTGGATGATAGAATGTGGTTTGTGGGAGATAGCAGAGGAAGGAAACTTGTTGAGAGCTGCAAGGGATAGGAGGGAGGTGGAGAGCCATGATCGCCTACGTCCTGAAAGGCCATGGCACATAAAAAAAAAAGAAAAAAGATGAGACTGATGGCCGACTCAGGAAGGTGGATGATAGAATGTGGTTTGTGGGAGATAGCAGAGGGAAGGAACTTGTTGAGAGCTGCAAGGGATAGAAGGAGGTGGAGAGCCATGATCGCCTACGTCCTGAAAGGCCATGGCACATAAAAAAAAGAAAAAAAAGATGAGACTGATGGCCGACTCAGGAAGGTGGATGATAGAATGGGTTTGTGGGAGATAGCAGAGGGAAGGAACTTGTTGAGAGCTGCAAGGGATAGAAGGAGGTGGAGAGCCATGATCGTCTACGTCCTGAAAGGCCATGGCACATAAAAAGAAAGAAAAAAAGATAAGACTGATGGCCGACTCGGAAAGGTGGATGATAGAATGTGGTTTGTGGGAGATAGCAGAGGGAAGGAACTTGTTGAGAGCTGCAAGGGATAGGAGGAGGCGGAGAGCCATGATCGCCTACGTCCTGAAAGGCCATGGCACATAAAAAAAGAAAGAAAAAAAGATAAGACTGATGGCCGACTCGGAAAGGTGGATGATAGAATGTGGTTTGTGGGAGATAGCAGAGGGAAGGAACTTGTTGAGAGCTGCAAGGGATAGAAGGAGGTGGAGAGCCATGATCGTCTACGTCCTGAAAGGCCATGGCACATAAAAAGAAAGAAAAAAAGATAAGACTGATGGCCGACTCGGAAAGGTGGATGATAGAATGTGGTTTGTGGGAGATAGCAGAGGGAAGGAACTTGTTGAGAGCTGCAAGGGATAGGAGGAGGTGGAGAGCCATGATCGCCTACGTCCTGAAAGGCCATGGCACATAAAAAGAAAGAAAAAAAGATGAGACTGATGGCCGACTCGGGAAGGTGGATGATAGAATGTGGTTTGTGGGAGATAGCAGAGGGAAGGAACTTGTTGAGAGCTGCAAGGGATAGAAGGAGGTGGAGAGCCATGATCGCCTACGTCCTGAAAGGCCATGGCACATAAAAAAAAAAAAAAAAGATGAGACTGATGGCCGACTCGGGAAGGTGGATGATAGAATGTGGTTTGTGGGAGATAGCAGAGGGAAGGAACTTGTTGAGAGCTGCAAGGGATAGAAGGAGGTGGAGAGCCATGATCGCCTACGTCCTGAAAGGCCATGGCACATAAAAAAAAAAGAAAAAAAGATGAGACTGATGGCCGACTCGGGAAGGTGGATGATAGAATGTGGTTTGTGGGAGATAGCAGAGGGAAGGAACTTGTTGAGAGCTGCAAGGGATAGAAGGAGGTGGAGAGCCATGATCGCCTACGTCCTGAAAGGACATGGCACATAAAAAGAAAGAAAAAAGATGAGACTGATGGCCGACTCGGGAAGGTGGATGATAGAATGTGGTTTGTGGGAGATAGCAGAGGGAAGGAACTTGTTGAGAGCTGCAAGGGATAGGAGGAGGTGGAGAGCCATGATCGCCTACGTCCTGAAAGGCCATGGCACATAAAAAGAAAGAAAAAAAGATGAGACTGATGGCCGACTCGGGAAGGTGGATGATAGAATGTGGTTTGTGGGAGATAGCAGAGGGAAGGAACTTGTTGAGAGCTGCAAGGGATAGAAGGAGGTGGAGAGCCATGATCGCCTACGTCCTGAAAGGCCATGGCACATAAAAAAGAAAGAAAAAAAATGAGACTGATGGCCGACTCAGGAAGGTGGATGATAGAATGTGGTTTGTGGGAGATAGCAGAGGAAGGAACTTGTTGAGAGCTGCAAGGGATAGAAGGAGGTGGAGAGCCATGATCGTCTACGTCCTGAAAGGCCATGGCACATAAAAAAAAAGAAAAAAAGATAAGACTGATGGCCGACTCGGAAAGGTGGATGATAGAATGTGGTTTGTGGGAGATAGCAGAGGAAGGAACTTGTTGAGAGCTGCAAGGGATAGGAGGAGGTGGAGAGCCATGATCGCCTACGTCCTGAAAGGACATGGCACATAAAAAGAAAGAAAAAAGATGAGACTGATGGCCGACTCGGGAAGGTGGATGATAGAATTTGGTTTGTGGGGGATAGCAGAGGAAAGGAACTTGTTGAGAGCAGCAAGGAATAGAAGGAGGTGGAGAGCCATGATCGCCTACGTCCTGAAAGGACATGGCATATAAAAACAATGAATAGAAAAAGATCATGAAATTGTGGAGAGCCCTGATCGCTCACATCCTGAAGGTACATGGCACATAGAAGAAGAAGAAGAAGAAGAAGAAGAAGACGACGACGACGAAGAAGAAGAAGAGGAGAAGGAGGAGGAAGAAGAAGAAGATGAAGAAGAAAAAACGATGAAGAAGAAGACAAAGAAGAAGAAGATGAAGAAGAAGAAGATGTTTCCTTGCAGAAATGTTGTAGCAACGTAATTTCCCCAGCTGAGATTAGATCAAGAGAAACTACAAATGACACGCAACGTAACATTTATTTGGTTGAAGATCATATTATAAAGAAAGTTCGATCTATACAAATACTCCGCTGTTGACGCCTTGTGTCAGAATAAACTTCGTAAATAACGACACGGCTCTCGTGCCGCATTCACGTTTCTGTAAAATACGTGAATAGAGCCCGATTTTCGTGGGGATAAATATCGTGTGTGAGAATGAAAAGTTATTGTGATAAACGCAATGAGAAAATTAATGAGAAATGCCTGGAGCAGATAAATTATAAATGAATGGGAACATGGATAAAGGTTTTGAATAAGGCGGGAAATAAAAGAATGAAGGCAAAAGAAATGGGGAAAGATAGCCATCGAAAAGAGTAAGAAAAATATAGTCGTTTTGAAATTGGAACTGCGTCTATAAGGGAATGTGTATGGCTATAAGCGGGGGGAAAAGTGAAATAAAATGTAGTAAATTTGGGTCGATAAAGGTGCTGTAAGTAAGAAAAGAAATAAATAATGGCGAAAGAAAGAAAGAAAGAAAGAAAAAGAATATTAAAGAAAGAAAGAAAGAAAGAAAGAAAGAAAGAAAGAAAGAAAGAAAAAGCATATTAAAGAAAGGAAAGAAAAAATATTAATAAATGAGTGAAACAAGAAAAAGGAGAACAAGAAAGAGAGAGTGTGGGAAGAAGAAGATGCAAAACGAAAAGAAAGAAACAAACGAAGTATAGTATGAAAGCAATAACAAAAATAGGATTTTTTTTTACATAAGAAGAAAGTAAACAGAAAAAAATAAATACAAGACCAGAGAGAATTTTAAAGAAATAAAGAAAGAAAGAAAGAGAAGCAGAAAGGAGAGAAGATAAAGTGAAAGAAAGAAAGAAAAAAAAAGAAAGAGAGAAAGAAAGAAAAATAGTGCAAAAGCCACAGCAGAATCGGGTATAATTTAGACAAAAAAGAAAGAAAAATAAAAGGACAAGGAAATAATTCTAAAAGAAAAAAAAGAAAGGAAAAGACAGATTAATACAAGAAAGAAAAAGAAGAAAAATAAAAAAAATGAAACGGGAAATAGATAAAGAGAAAAATGATAGACAAAAAGAAAGAAAGTAATCACTCAGTTAAAGAATAGTGAAAAAAAAAAAAACTAAACAGACAAGCAAAGAAAACATAAAGGGAAGAAAGAAAATAAATACTGAAAAAGAGAAGTAATTATTTTAAAAAAAATAATAGGACGAGAAGAGAAAACAGATATTATTCGTGCAAAAGTAATAAAAAAAAAGAAATGAAGACAATGGAAGTTATGAAAATAAGAAGGAAAATAGGTTTTGCTGCTAAATTTTACACAATTTACTCTCTAGGCTATTGAATTTTTAAAACGGCACACATTGAAGATCAAACTTTGTTAAACCAGACTATACTCATTAAAACATTGCCTCACATCTGGTCGTTGAAAGGAACGAGAGAGATAGGATGTTGAACAAAAAAAAAATATATATATATATATATATAGTAGTAAGAGGAAAACGGAAATAATATATTGTTTTAGAAAAAGATTAAAATTTGAGAGGATGAAAGAAAAAATGCGAAGGATAGAATGAAAAAGAAAAAGGGAATAGGAAAAAGGGCAAAGAAAGAGGAAGTTGTAAAAAGAACGACTAAAAAGGAATATAATATTTTGGGGAGAGAATAAAGGTTCTGTGGAAGTAGAAATGGGATATTATTTGAGAAAATAAAATAGAAGCAATAAAAGCAGAGATTAAAGAAAGAAAGAAAGAAAGAAAGAAAGAAAGAAAGAAAGAAAGAACAAAGATAACACGGAGAAGAAAATACGAAAAAAAAATTAATGGATCAAAGAAAGAAAGAAAGAAAGAAAGAAAGAAACAAACAAACAAACAAATAGAGAATAACAAAGGGAGATAACCTGGAGAAGAAAATAAGAATTCAAATGAAAAGAATCAAATAAAAATAAAGAAAGGAAGAAAAGAAAAACGAACAATGTGAGATAACCCGTAGAAAGAAATAAGAAAACTAGTAAAATGGATAAAGAAAGAAAGGAAAAAGAAAGAAAAATAAAAAGAAAAAAAAAAACAAAAAAAAACAAAGGGTGGCTATCCTAAGAAAATGATTAACGAAAGCTCCTTCTCTTTTTGAGGATTGACCAAATCATCAAAAGTGAAGGAATGAGACTGTAATGGAAGCATGAAAGTGACGAAATAAAATCTCATTATCAACTTTTGGTCGGGTGTCATCTTGTATTGAATCACAGCTACTTATAAGCAAACCAAACAATATAGCGTCCAAATTCTTTTTGGCTTTTAGTCGAGAAATTTGCAAATACACTTCAGCTACGCAACGACTGTGTAGGCGTGGGCTTACCATGGCGCATGCGCAATAAAAACCTTAGGAATGGAAGTGACAACTTCGTTTCAGAAGTGAAACAATAATCTTTCACACCAGGAGACGAAATTTCGCTCGAGGTGTAAGTATAATATTGAATGGCTAATGGCAATCATGTAATATGAGCAGCCAAGTGTTAAGTTGCTTTCCTTTCTTTCTGGAGAAATTCTTTAGTTTGAATGAAGGAAATGAAACAATGACCAAAGAAAAAAATGGATAATAGAAAATCCCGATTGCTCAACGGAAGATGCGCAGAGTGTGACCCAGGCACCAAAACTAGGAATTAATCTTAATAATCTGGCTAGACCTAGAGATAGAGAGAGATAGAGAGAGAGAGATAGAGATATAGAGAGATATAGATGTATATATATATATATATATAGAGAGAGAGAGAGAGCAGGCAGACAGACAGAGAGATATATAGTTTCAAACGGAATGATATAAAAACAGAGTTGCGAACAGAATAACATATATACGCACGCACACACAAACACACACACACACACATACACACACACACACACACACACACATATATATATATATATATATATATATATATATATATATATGCACATTTCATTGAATAAGACTGACAAGGTTCTTTGATTTAGTTTGTATACAATTTCCCAAATGACCATCTAATAATTGTTTTCTTTTCAGATCATATATTATATAAAAACTGTCCGAATATTCTTTTAATCCGAGTCCTTTTGGCTATAGATTTAAGCATTTTCAAGGTTGAAATATATAATTAATTAATCAAATGAAAGAAAATTATAAACAAGACGAAAGTAGAATTAAGAACATTAAAAAAAATGGACAACACCAGTTGACAATAGCAAAATAAAAAAAAAATATTGATTAATTATTTATTACAAGAAATTTAAAACCTCTAACCTTATAGTTAAAAATAATAATTCACCTCTTAGAACAAAATTAAATAGGACAAATATTATTTACGAATGTAAATGTCCATTAAGGAATTGTATTCCTGATCAATAAAAAATCGTAAATAATTATAGAGGCCACACTACAACATGTTTGACACGAAAACTCACTCTACATCCTTTCTGACCAAAGCTGAATTAGATCGCAATTAAATGTTCATGGAGACCTACCGGACACTATTCCTATCATACTTGTTGACAACAACTAACATAATAGCATCATCAATATGCAAAAATAGGCTAAAAATAACGGAAGACTTATTAATAAAAGCAAAAGCAAAACACAAACTTAATAATATCAACTATGAACATGGACACAATATCTTGACCGTGTTTTGAAAATGAAAACAAATAGATACATACATAAAACAAACTATTTCTTGTTAACAATTAATATATTTCAAACTTGAAAATGGCTAAGTGTTTAGCCGTGTTCGGACAGTTTTTATACAATTTATCATCTGAAAACAAAACAAAAAAAAACATATTAGATCACATGGGAAATTTTAATAAAAAACTAAATCAAAACACCTTATCTGTCTTATTCAATGAAATGTGCATGAAAGAAGGATTGCTGCATAAATACACAAATTATATATATATATATATATATATATATATATATATATATATATAAAAGTGAACATAGTCAACACTTAGAGGCGACAGTGTATTTCATGCTCGATGCAATCGTCAGGCCACGATTGCATCTAGCATGAAGCAGACTGTCACTTCTAAGTGTTGACTTCTATGTTCACTTTTATATTTCACACGCTCTATCTATGATATTGAGCACTTTTATCCTATAAATATATCACATCTTAAGACTATATTTCTTCATATATATATATATATATATATATATATATATATATAAACATGCATATATATATATATATATATATATATATATATATATATATAGAAAGAGAGAGAAAGAGAGAGGTATATACTAACAAACTCAGACACATACATGCACACACACACGCACATATATATATATATATATATATATACACATATGGAAACAGACTGAGATAGATAGATAGATAGATAGATAGATAGATAGATAGATAGATAGATAGATAAGAATTGGTTGAAAGAGATAGACAGCTGATTCCAATAATATATAGATAAAATAAGAATAGGACCGTCTAAGGAATATGTAAATCGATTGGTCGATTACTTGATAGTAGCCATTGAATTTTATGATTCAAGCCTATGGTCCCATCCCCCTTGATTTTGATAAAAAAAACTCTATCAATGACTTTAAAAAATATATGGCTTTCTTTAAACTGACATCTTGACGGTATAGAGGCAATAAAATATACTAGAATTACCCAACTTTCGCCAT